AGCCGGGGGCAGCGGCACCCCCATGGGACGTGCACAGCCGGGAGTCGCGGTGTTGTTTCCCTCCCGACAGGCATAAACAGCCCCTCCCTGAGGGGAGAAAGTGCCAAGAGCTCGGGCAGGATTTGCCCGCGATAATAAAATGCAGCTGAGCCCAGCTGGAGGCTCATCCGGGCACGTTTCTGGTTAATTTTTGCATCAGTGCTTTATCGGTTCGTGACGTTTCATTTAAGCCCTTCTGCTTGTTGATCTTTTTCTGGAGGGTACTGATGTTTTGTGGAGGCCGAGGCCGCTTGATTTGAGTGCGAGCGGATCCCCCCCCCTGCCCTGCCCTGCCTCCCCTTCTGGGCAGGGCAGCAGCAGCAGCAGGAGCTGGGAGCATGAATGGCAGAGCCCAGCTGTGCATGGGAACGGAAAACATTCTGTTTGTTTGTATAAGCAGTGAGTCAGTTTTACTGACAAAAACACTTTCAGGCAGCAGCTTTTCCAGCAGGAAAGGTCAAAACTGGCTGGTAAAGAGTTAAACGTTAGTTGCAGATGAAATAGGAAGGGACAGACTGAAGTCAGAGAAGGGGAAAGTACATGACCAAACAGCCTTCGAAGTCATTAGATTCTGCTTAGATTCTGCTCCCTCATCCATATGATTAGCAGAGGTGGATGTAGTAGCCAGCTACGTGCATGGATTTGAACTCCTCTGCCAACTGGAAAGATCCGAAAGCAGAACTTTGAAGTTAGTGAGAGGGGGAGAGGCGTGCCGTGAGATGGCAGGGGTGGCAGACAATGATGGCTAGGGGACTGTGTGTAAAAAGGTCGAGAAGAACAAGGAGTACCCAGAATATGGGATGACAGAGAGAAATTTAAATATCACGGAGAGTGAGGAATTATTTACAGTCCCATGGAGGATTCAGCCAGCATCCTTCAACTGCAATCCATAAATGAGGGAGAATAGGAAGAATTTCTTCCAGAGCTGACGTGTTAAGCTACAGAACTGTTGTCCCATGAGAAGGGATAAAAACACCGTTGTTTAGGTCATTGCAGGTCCTGTAAGTCCTTGGAAAGCCTATGGCTTTTGTTCTCTGCTGCCCAGTGAGACTGATCTTGCTTCCAAGTCCCCTGCCTCTGACTGTGGCGTGGTGGGAAGCACAGCCCTTTCCCTGCGCTGCACGGCGAGATGCTCTCTGACCCTGGTCATTGTCTGGTGCATTTGGGATTAGTTATTGGCAGACACTTGCTGAAGAGAAGTGAGGTGAAAAAGCGGAAAGGAGCATTCGTTAAAAGGGTGAGGGTGAATGCGTTGCCCTGGCATTTGTTCCCGGAGTGACTTTCAAAGAGCTCCTCTGAGCTGGAGGGAGGTGCTCTTGCTCAGAGGAGTGCAGACAGATGCTGCTGGCACAAACACTGCCCTGGACCCTTTGCTGTTGAATCTGTGTGGAGTGGGGAGATAAATTCTTTGATGGTGGGATTGCGCGTCTGTGCGCGAGTACCATTGTGTGAGCTGGCGTCTGGCTCGAGCCAACGTGATGACGAGGGGCATGAAAGGTTTTACGATAGAGTCAAGTGAGCAACAAAGCCCTTTCACTGCTAGGCTCTGATTAAATGGGGAGAGGTTTGTGATGAAAGAACAGGCATCTAGGACCAGGTGCAGGAAGCGTTTTGGTGCTACCTGCAGGTAATGCTGGACCATGTGATGACAAATGGGACGTAAGTTTTCAGCAAACAGGCTGATTCTCAACCAATTTTCTGCATTCTCTAGAGCCTCCAGCCTGAGGATTCGGAGGGACTTGTACAAGCAAGCATTAACCTTGTTTTACAGCCAAAGGAGATGCTCAGGAGCAGGGGAGGAGAGCGCTGGGACGTGGCAGGTAGTCAGCTGTCTGGTGGTGGGCAGAGGTGCCATTTGAGAAAGTGCTGTGGTGGGGGTGGGTGTCTGCGAAGTACAGTGCTTGCTGCAGTGGCCGGCAGCAGTCGAATGTTTCTGCTGTGCTGTACACTGAGCTGCATCTGTTTGCTCATCGAGAGCACCGACTTGCTGCCTTTTTTGTGCCTAACAATTTATTGTTTGATTTGCAGGTTGTTTTCCTCCACCTCCCTGAGACCTCTCTTTCTCCTCAGCATGTCCCTTCTTGGCATCCTCTTGCTGGAGAGGTGGAAGCCCAGGTTCCTGTTCGATTTCTCAGGTATGTGATGAGTAGCACTGTAGCTAGGGACACAGTTTTGGTGTCACCAGCTGCTGGGCTATGTCCACAGCTGGTTGTTTCTTGGCTCTCTCATAGGTCATGTAAACCCTATTCCTCCTGTAACTGCAGGCTTTGGTACTGGTACTGCCTCTTGCCTATTTGTGTCAGAGTATTAGAATGCATCCTCATTCTAATTCAGTCTGGGCCTGGGGAGAATTGCTCCTAGTGCTGAGAGGTTCTGGGAATAGCTTGTTTTGAGAGTGACTAAGGGGACTGTTGTGGTCTAATCCCAGCCAGCAACTAAGCACTAAACAGCCACTTGCTCACTCCCCATTGGTGAGATGGGGGAGAGAATTGGAAAGTAAAAGTCAGAAAACTCATGGGTTGAGATAAAGACAGTTTAATAGTTAAAGCAAAAGCCATACACAAAAGCAAAGCAAACCAAGGAATACATTCACTGGTTCCCGGTGGCATGCAGGTGTTCAGCCATCTCCAGGAAAGCGTGACTCCATCACATGTAACGGTTACTTGGGAAGAAAAACACCGTAACTCCAAATGTCCTCCCCTTCCTTCTTCCCCCGGCTTTATATGCTGAGCATGGTGTCAGATGCTATGGAATATCCCCTTGGCCAGTTGGGATCAGCTGTCCCAGCTGTGTCCCCTCTCAGCTTCTTGTGCCTTCCCAGCCTACTCACTGGTGGGGTGAGTGGTGTGAGAAGCAGAAAAGGCCTTGTCTCTGTGTAAGCACTGCTGAGCAATAACAAAAATGTCCCTGTGTTATCAACACTGTTCTCAGCACAAATCCAAAACATAGCCCCATACTAGAAATTAACTCTATCCCAACCAAAACCAGCACAGGGGCCCAGTTAGCTTCTCAGGGAAGCTGATGATGGGGGCGATGCAGGGTTTGTGCTGTGTCGTCTCCCTCCTGCAGATGTCATGGTGAAAAGATCATTCCAGATCTGAGCATATGTGGCCAGCTGAGCTGGGGGAAGGAAATGGGGGTGTGTTGAAGTATATTGGTTTTAGTTAAGTGCAGTGTGGACTTCTGCCCTGAGAGAGGCAGAGCAGATGAGAGCCACTTCTCCTTGCGGCAAGTAACAGAGTGGGTGATGAGGTGTGACAGCAGGGACAGGTACTGTATTGTACCTGCACAGAACAGCGTCTGGGCTCCAGCTAATCAGTGAGTCTGATCACTTGGCTTATCTTTCCCATTTATTGAAGGGCCTTTGCCAACATTAGACACAAAAGCAACAAGAGGAATAGCCTCACAGCAATGATAGGCATGGGTTGGCTGCTGTCTGCTTCAAGTGCCTCCTTCATTGGAATTTACTAAGTGACTGGATGCAGGCCTGCCCACTGCATCTACTGCTGCTGTTCAAAGGCGGCTTGGGGCCCTCCATCCCTGCCCCCCTACTCTAGGGAGGGTTTCTGAATGAAAGCCCCTCTATATGTGTGTTTGTAAGGTGCCCTTTATTTGACCTAAGAGAGTATGGACTTAAAGGGTGCTTTCATAGAAGTCCTGATAAGATTAGATACGTTTTAGCTGTAGTAGGAACTGTTTGCTTTGCGTGGTTCAGGTAACTAGGCAGCCAAACCGGACTGGCCAATTTAATTTCCTGCTTATTCACACTGGATATTTAAGGGAATAGTTTAAAGCCAACCCAAAACATCTCACTTGAAACATGTCCAGAAATGCAAAAGCCTGGTGCCCAATACAGAAAGGTGTCATTGAGGCAGGTGGGGGTAGAATCGCTCCAGCAAGTACCAGACCTGTAAAAGCTGGCTTATCACAGAAGAAATAGGAAATCCATACTGAAATCAATTTATATGATGCAGACCAGTGAGGAATAAAAAAGAAAACCACACAACACGACACACCAGGGATTAGGCTCATCCTGTGTCATCAGCTTTGCAAGAAATCAGTGCACATCCTACTGAGCCGCTCCTCAGTGGTGTTCTTCCCCACGTTTCACTCCTTGCTGCTTTTCTGTTGCTGACAGCGAAGAACAGGGACACCTTTCTGATGTGCCTGGTTAGGTCACAGCCCTGATTTCGACACGGTCCACTGGACCACGTTTCCTCAGCTTCCACAAGGAACGAGTGGTGCTCTGTGTTGCTGAGGGGCCTCTTGTTGAATTGGCACTGCTGAATACTCAGGGGTTCTTGTGTGACTCTCACTTTCCACTGAAGCAGAGCTGCAGCTTTGTGGCTTTCCTCCTCGGTGCTTCCTGTAAGCCTTTCCAGGAGCTTTTGGAAGTAGGTCAGTACCACACCTTCAAGAGTCAGCACGTATATACACAAACCTCAGCTTGTGGCAGTTCTTTATGGCTCGGGTGACTGCTTATAACATCACTTCTGAAGGAATGCTGAAACCTCAGCGAGTATTTTGCAGTTACTCGCACACTGCGATCAGGGACACATTAACAGCTGCAAGATGCAGAACCTTTTTAGGCCCTTTCCAAAGGGACTGCATATTTTCAGCACCCATGCAGGGTATTTTCTCCATATGTAACCACCTCTACGTGGGGTTCCACTTAAATATTGTTTAAGGGCTGAGGAAGCACCTCCACTTTGTCCTGTCAAGTAGGAATGTTTTCTGTACTGTTGTTTGGCAGCTGTGTTTTGGTCAGCATAGGAGAGAGTAATGTGGAAGAGCTTTAACAAGGCCTCCATTGCAATTGAATGCTGGTACCCCTTAAAAAGGGCCCCTGCTTTCTAGCTAAAGTTTACACACAGATGAAGAATGCCTCTTGAGGAAGTGTTGAAAACCTGTAAGAGCCAAGGAATCCATCAGCAATAATTTTTCTGTACCAACCTGTAACCTAAACTCTTGCGTGGCTGACTGGTCTCCCAGAAGAGTCTGGTGTATGTCAAGTGGTTTGTATTAACCCACAATCCAGCGTGAGATGCCGACAGCAACATTTCAGCTACTTATTGATGACCTGTGGCCAGCTGAGGGTGTCCTGCTTGCTAGCTTACTTGTACCAGTGCTAGACAGTATAGCAGCACAGGTTGGAGTTAAGCCTCACCCAAGTAACCATGTCCTGCTGGAAATCCTCTAGGTTTTTTTGTGGTTGGGCTGCTCCTTGGGCAGCCAGTGCTTTGGGATGGCCAGCAGGCAGACTACGCTACTACAGGAAGCAAGATACTGTTGATTTTAAAGACAGCTTGTGTTTTCCCAGATAGTTGAAATCACGTGAACCCTCTGCAGCCTGCTGAAATGTTCTGCAGCTCCCCAAAGTGTCTCTGAAACCTTCAGAAGCGGCTGAGAATTGTTTCACTCCCTCTGCTGGCATATTTTGGATGGTTTAGATTACTGCAGTCAGTTGAGAGGAGCGGGGTTCCTGTGCCATCCTGCTTACTGTGTTGGTGGCAGTTGCGTCCAGCAGAGTACAGCAAGCATCCCAGCACCTCGTTTGGTAGCTGGTACAACCAGCATAGGCAGCCGTCACAGCCAGGCCAGTGCCAAAGGTAATTTGGTGATTTAGTGCAGGTAATGGATGAGGCTTTGAGATGTGGCTGGATTTCTGCGTGCTCCGATTAAGCAGCTTTAGATTCCTGAGTGCAGTAACAAAATACAGCAACAGCGGTTGTGCGAGCAGGGCAACCACCCCATAGGGATGGAGCTGCATCCGTGATACTCCTTCCTCCCCCTGAGCTCCCTTCGTGAGCAGCGCTTGCCGGCTGCCTCAGCCGCCACGGCCAGCAGCTGTGGGCAGGGACGTGGATGGGCAGCTCAGTCTGAGAGTGTTTGACTCCCGTTGTCAGCCCTGATTACTGGGGCTCAAAGAATTGCCTCCTCCCCTGGGCGAGCGGCTGGGGCAGAGACTGCAGCGCCCGGGGGGGAGCGGCTGGTGCAGAGCCTGCAGCGCTGGGAGGGGGCTGACATACTTGGCCCAGTGTGCTGTGTCTTGGGAGAGCGGCAGCAAGGCTGCTACGAGCAGTTGCTCTCTTCTGCGGCTTGAGCTGGAGTCTGAAGTCTCGCTGGGTGCTGGCAGACAGATGTTCTCTTCTCTGCGTTTCCCTGGGGGAGGCCCTGCCGCTCTTGGGCTTTGTATCTGGCTGATGACTTCAGGGAAGGCTCCAACCCCTTTTTGCTCATGTTGGATTTTTCAGGCTGTTTCCAACAAGTACCCTGGATTGTGAATGTGAACTGTGTTCCTTTATTTTAGTCCTGTTCATGTGGTGACGTGCAACGTGGGGGATAGGGGTGCCAGTGATTTTTAGTACCTCTTGGACCAAGTTTGCTGTTAACCAGAGAGCATGAAAAGTGTATCTCTCCCTACCAACTTTTATACAGTAGGCTGATGGGTAGAGGAGGGTAGACCTTGAGGGGTCTTCACAGCATGATCAGGGCTTTGTTAAACACAGGAGACTTGTAAGGACTTTGTTGATGCAAGAGCTTTGGTTCAGCCCTGTACATCTTCAGGCACTAGTCCTTGAATATCCAGGACACCCAAACCCGTGGGCAGCCGGTCTCATGAGTCTCAGCTGTCATAGAAATATTTGGGGTTTTTTTCCCCTCTCTGTATCTAAAGGCAGAGCCTTTAGATGTGAACCAAATGTGACTTCTGCCATTGAAACACCACTTCTCCCTTCAGTACTGCGTGGAGTAAGTCTCTGATCATCACAGGGTTGGGTGCAGAGAGGAATGGGAGAAGCTTTCCCTTGCTCTTATCCAGGCTGCCAGACCTTAGAATTGTGGTTGTATATGTGCCTGGCACTAAGGGCTAATAGTGGACATAAAAGAGCTCTAGAATTAGATAATTATACTCAAGGCTGCTGTTTGTTACTTAATTCTGTGGGAAAGGATAGAGACAGCAGGGAGATCTCTGGCATTTGTGCACAGCATCCTGCCAGGGTCTGTGGTCTGGGCTGGTCAGTGGGAAGTGCAGCTCAGACCTGCTGGTGCCATGGTGAGCTCCGAGGTGGGAGCTGAAGCTTTGCCCAGCTCAGGAGCCACGTTGGCTGCCCTGGGATGGCACTGTGCAGATGCATGGGATGCCAGGATGTGCAATCCCTGCAGCAGAGAGCCCATGCGCTGGCAGCAGGGTGCGCCTTGGATACGAGTGCCATGCCACGCGTTTGAGATGTGCTGGGGAGCCCTTAGAGCACTGCTCTGAGTCTCTAGGCATGCTTCACCAAAGCTTGCCACAGCTCAAACTCCAAGCCAGTGATTCCTGCTTGCATGAGAGCATGAAGAAAGTCTCCAGGGTGCTTCCCCAGCTAAGGATGATACATCTCCAGCTCTGCTCTGTTCAAGTGCTAAAAATGTCGGGTTGTATTTTTCACTTGGCTGACTAATCTGCTGTGTTCTCTCTACAGCACAGCCATCAGAGGAGCCAGGAGGGGAGAGGTAAGCTCACTGATGTGTTCCTTGGAGACCGGGGACAGTGGGGAAGCCTTAATTTAGAGTGGTGATCTCACCTGTCCTTCTTGCTGTTGTCGGTACACTGCGTGGCTCCTGCTGTGAAATGTTGGTAGTGGTTTCTCCTGCACTGGGAGCTGCTTATCAGCTGCAGAGCCGGTTTGAGGCTCTGGGGAAAGCTAGTGTTCTTTCAGTAGCAATAAAGCTCAAGTGCTACTGATGTTAGGAACTCTCAGGTTTCTTCCCAGGATCTATCCTAGACTATTTTAAAAATCCTCCAGAAAGAAAGAAATCCCTGAGGCTGACTCTTGCAGGCCATAGGTGCTGTCTGTGGTGGCGTAGCTTGCATCCCATTCTTGGCCATGGTTACAGGTCTGAGCACTGTGCTCTGGCTGCCTCAGCCTTGGTGCCAGAGGAGGCCACGTAACCAGTCCCACCCCCAGTGCTTCTGTCTACGTGGCTTCGGGTGAAGTGCTTTGCACCTGGGGATGCTTTTGCACAGGGATGCTGTGGCATGGTGTCTGCTGCTGCTACTTGGCTCAGGTGTCTCTTGGCTCTGTTCCTGATCAGAGAAAAAAGTATTTCCAAAACGAGTGCCTTCCATAGCTCAGTTGAAGATGCAGTCAGCACTGTCAAGCATTTGGTAGGGATTTCTGCTTCCCAGTGCAGCTGTTCTCCCCCCTACAAAACAGACCATGTTCAAAGATTGTCTTCTTGCTCTTGTCTGTCTCTAGTGAGGGGATGACTTCAGGGGCACAACCTCACCTGCTCAGTGTCCCTGAGCTGTGCCACTGTCTGGCAGAGAGCTGGGTCACCTTCAGGCTGTACCTGCAGGAACTGCTACAGTACAAGAGGCAAAATCCTGCCAAGGTAAGCTGGAGATACCTACTTATCTGTGCAGGGGCTTTTATTTCCATTGCTAGTAACCTAGGAGATGGAAGAATGTCAAATCAATATTTTTACAATTGCTGTCTCTGTTTAACATTTGCTGTTCATTCCTTTCAGACTCAGTGCCCTGGGAAGCTTAAATAAGGAGTAATTGGCTTCTGGTATTTGTAAACTGGGGCTGAACCCCTTCTGTGAATAGCTAGCTTAGTTTTATCTCCTAGTGTGCAAGGGAAACTCTTAGGTTGGGAATGGGAAGAAAAAAGGGAGCCTACAGTCTCTGCCCCTTTCACAGGCTCCATTCAAGCCTTTAAGCTGGTCCTGCCTATTTTGCTAGCCAAGACTGTAGCTAGCCAAGTCTAAATGGAGTGGTGTTTCTGAGTGTGTGGAAACTTGCCATTAACCGTGTTCTGGCAGCTGTGGCGTGTGTCGTTTGGAAAGGGTTCGTAGACGGGAGTTGCCTTAGCATCACAAAAAATAGGACAGACAAGCCACTGGGATTATATCAGGCTTGCTGGGGTCCAGTGCGCCAAAAGGAGTGGGTTTCTGTCACTGCTGATTGCTCCTCTTCTGTTAAAACACTGGAATAGGAGACCAGGACTCAGATGCCCATAAGGAGTGAATACACTGGGAGCAGAGCCCTCAGAGGTCTCCAGCTTTTGTAGACCCTTTAAACTCTTCATTGCTGGATTTAGGGTGTCTGTTCTTGCTTCTCCCCCTCCCCAGGAGAATGCAGGACAAGCCCTCGGGGCTGCACCATCATACTTCCACGTTTTCCACAGGAGGAAGGCCCTGGTCTGGTAGGAGCGTGGGTTCCACTAAGGCTGCTGCCAGCTGGTTTATGGCGTAGCAGTGGCCCAGCATCTGGCGACTGTAACAGCGTCTTGTCTCTGTCAGGACAGTACGGTTTTCTCTTAAAGTGCTGATTTTATTGCAATTTGCATTATCCCACCCTGGCCTCAGGGAGCATCATTTACTTCATAAAGAACTGTCCAGTAAAGTTTTGGTTCATTTTGCTGGGGTCTTGGGTTACCTTGATCTTCCTGCGCTTGAATCTCTAATGCTTAAAGCTTAACCCAGCTGAGCTGTCTGAGTTGTGATTGTCAGCAACTGAATGGACTCAGTGCAAAGCTGGTGTACTGACTTTGTTAGGAGCATCCCTCGTTTTGCTCTAACTGGGTTTTCTGCACTGTTTGCATAGATAGATCTCTGCCTCTCCTCACTTCTGTTTGTTCCTCTCTCTTCCTTCAGTTCTGCATGAGTGTCTGTTCAGGCTGCCTGATTCTGGCTATAGTTGGACACTATGTTCCAGGCATAATGATCTCCTACATCATTTGTGAGTATAAGCAGCTCTCTTGTCTGACTTAAGCTGAAACATGACCTAACTGTGCTGTTGATATGCTGGTAGAAGCATTTTTGTGGTTTTCTTGAGGGAATCTGTGCTGGATGATGAATCGACACAAGCAGCCTGCTCCAGGAAGCGTCTTGCTTTGCATGCATGCAGTAAAACTGCAAGGTCAGGAGAGGGAGCAGTCGCTAAAACATTGCTTTCCTCTTCCAGCCACGGCTGAGGCTGTGCTGGTGAAGCCCCAGAGCAGCAGAAAGCTGCAGTCTCTCCTTTCCTAGAGTGGGCAAATCCATATCCAGAGAGCTGTTAAGGAAGCTGCATGTTTAGCAAATAAGGCTTTTTTCACTGCATCGTGATTCCTTTCTAATTCTGAAGACTTTTGATGGTCTGCTGCTAGCACATCTACGTGTGAGCTCTATGCTGCTACCCTTATAAAAGTTTTGGTGATTTTTAGTTTTAATAACCTCATTTCAGGGCCTCTTTTGCATGCTGGGGCTGGGATGCAATGGCTACAGTGGAGAGCTTATGCTTCATCTTAACATAAATCTGCATCTTAACAGAGATCTGTTAGGAAAACCTGGCTGATCAAGCAGCTTTGGAATAGCCATGTGTGTGGAGTTCAGGCAGTCAGAGGAGAAAGCAAACACCATTCAGCTGCGCTTCCCTTTCTGCAGAGTTTCTTGCTGGTGCCCTGTAAAGGGCTGGGCCGTGCTTGGTCTGTCTCTCACACTGTCCCATGCTGTGTTTGCAGTGCTCAGCATTCTGCTCTGGCCTCTGGTGGTCTACCACGAGCTGATCCAGAGGATGTACACACGTTTGGAGCCTGTCCTGATGAAACTGGACTACAGTATGAAGGCAGAGACGCTGCACCACAAGCATGAGAAGAAGAGTAAGGACCCACCTTCCCTCGACTTCTTCTGGTGCTGTACTCCCAGAGTGGAGCCCTAGCAAAGAGACAATGGGAGAGCAGGGTTTGCCAACACGGTGTGGGGAAAGGCTGTAGTGGAGCAGGGGAAAACTGAAACTTGGGGGTTATAGGGAGAGCAGCTGGGCAGGTAATCCTGGGAACAGCAAAGGGTAGCAACAGAGTACAGATGTCTCTGGGAACCTTGGGCTTCTAGAAGAAGTGGTGCAGTTTCACAGGGTAGTAGAAGTAGTGGGAAAGTGATGTATAAAGGCATAAAATTCCTTCAGTCTCATGTAAAGCCTTTCTTCTCTTTCTCATAGAGCGACAAGGGAAGAGTGAGCCTGCAGCAGGTGATGAGCCAACAGCAGAGACGGAAAGTGAGAGCGAAGCAGAGCTTTCGGGCTTCTCCCCAGTGGTAAGAGCACACAGAGCTGTGCAGCAACCAGTCCCTCCTCTCTGGTCTATGGCAGCTTGAGAGCCAAGGGATGGTCTGACTACAGCTGCATTAGTAATGAACAGCAGAGCAACAAGTCACTTCTTTGCAGAATCCCAAGGGGAGGAGGGCGTTAGTTTGATGAAGGCCATTGGCTTCAATCTGGGTATTGAGAATTCAGTGTCCCGAGGCTGGTGATGCAGGGCAGGGAGAGCCGTGCTCCAGCCTCCTGCTGACCTGTGGAACTGCTTTGATGCTTACACTTCATGCTCAGAGAATGCAAGTGTCTCCTAAATAAGTCAGCTGTCCTGGTGTAATGTGCAGTGACTCCTCACCCCTGGTAAAGGACATGAGCAGCACTGGTGTCTCTGTTGCACAGTTCCCTGCTCTCAGACAAACTGGGTGTGACCTTTCCACGGAAATGGACCAAGTGTCTTCCTTTGTGGGAGCTCTGGGCATGTAGCTGGGCTATGAAATGGGAAGCTTCAGCTTCCAAAGGAATGCGGATACTTGAGCTGCTGCCACTTGTAGAAGGCTTCATTGGGCCCAGCAAAAGGGAAGGAGTGTTTTACTCCTTGGTGATCCCAGGAGAGGAAGAAGGATCAAAGCCTTCTGAGACTCCTGCAGGCTGATCCCATCTTGTGCTGGCTCTTTTGGGTTCTTCACTGAGGGCAGACAAAGCCTCAGGCAGTGAATTACCACAGGAAAGCCAGAGACTGAGACTGCCTTTCCCTGGCAGTGCAATGGGCACTTTGCCCAGCCTCCTCTGGCTTTCGTACTGTCTCGTACAGAATCTCTCCTGCAAAGGACTTCTGCCTGGAAGCTCTGGTTTGTGGAGAGGTGCCTGTAGGCAGCACTGGTAGTCACACACCCAGGAACTTGACTCTCTGCCTTCATCACATGCAGGTGGATGTGAAAAAGACTGCTCTGGCACTGTCAATCACAGATTCTGAGCTCTCTGATGAGGAGGCTTCCATCCTGGAGAGTGGGGGCTTTTCTGTCTCAAGGGCTACCACCCCACAGCTGACAGATGTTTCTGAAGGTATGTGAGGGGACACTTTGCTGCCTTCCTGACCCTGTTTTGTCCCAAAACAACTGTTTTGGCACTGGGAGAGAACCTAACTATTTGCAGGGGGAGGAGCATTAAAAGGAGGAAGCAGTAATAGCAGTGCAGCATGCCCTGGCTTCATGACTGGTCCTGAATGGACATCTGCCCCCGATTACTGCCCCCCGAGACAGCAGGCTCTTGTCATTCCAGAAAGGGAGCAAGGTCATCCACGAAATCCCACAGAAATAATTGTCTGGTATAGTCACACACCTATTTATGTGATTCTGGGTGGAACAGGTCGGACACCCCACCCTGTCTGACCTACAAGCTCAGAAAGGCTGGTTAGTGGTGAGGAATGTGAAGGTAACCACTCAGATGTGGTCACCTGAGTGTTTGAGGAGCAAAAGGCAGGTGATGTGTTGCAGGTCCAATTCCTCTGACCCTGTAGATTTTAGTGGAGGGCTTTAGATGTGGAGGGCTTTAGATGTGGAAAGCATGAGCTGGAGAAGGAAGTCCTCTCTGACCACAGAGCACGTAGAGCAGGATGAGAAAAGGGACACACTCCACATGAGTCATGACACTGGGAGAAGGGAATAACTGCATACCCCTTCCTGCTGTTCTTTCAGAGCTGGGAGGATGCCCAAAAGTGAGCCCTGGTGTGTCAGCTGGGGGAGGGGGGTGGGAGATGTCAGTGCCCTGGGTTGGAGTGAGGAGACGTGAGCTTTAATTCTGGTGCCTTTCAGACCTGGATCAGCAGAGCCTGCACAGCGAGCCGGAGGAGTCGTTTTCCAAGGACCTGGCAGAGTTCCCCTCTGTGGAAGAATACCATTCCAGAGACCTGGGACCACAGAGCGATGAAGACGCGTTTGGTGTGCCTCTGGGTCCTGAGCTTGCCCACGCTGCCTGTGAGCTGGACTCAGCAGAGAAGGAGGCCGCGGACTCTGACCTCTCCATCCTTCGCCTAGCGTCTCCTCTCCATTTTGTAAATACGCACTTCAATGGGAGCGGGCAAGCGGCAGGAGGCAACACAGAGCCAAAGACTGTCCCTGCCCCAGGCCTGGCCATCTGCATTGACACGCTGAGCGAGGAGATCGTCACCACTGCCATTACCACAGTGGTGCAGAACACCCTCTCTGCCCTGCTGCGGTCCTCAGAGGCCAGCGAGGGACCCTCCCTCTCCGAATTCCTCCCCACCGAGCCTGAAGAGAAACTGAGCTTTCAAGCACAGCTGTCAGAGACCGAAGTGGTGGAGACAGAGACAGCAGCTTCACCTGAGGATGAGGAGGAAGCAGATGACTTTGAGCTACTGGATCAGGGGGAGCTGGAGCAAATGGATGTAGAGCTGGGGCTCGGAGAGGAGCAGGAGGCACGAGAGTCTCCTGCCGCTCTGGCTCCCCCCTCTCCCACACTTGCTGAGCTGCCAAAGCAAGGAGATGAGGAGGAGGCAGGGATGACAGCAGCATCTATGTCCTAGGTCTTCTTCACTCGCCCCCTTTTCCTCCATCGTCACTGGAAAGAAGGAAGAGCTCACACCATGAACGTGCAGTGGGTTTTTAGATGTTTGTGTTGACTGGGCTGGAAACGCGTCAGTGTTAATGTGCTGTGTCTGGAATAATGAATCCTCTCCGTCCTTCTAGAGCCCGGCCTTCGCTGGCTGAGCAGGAGATGCCTCTGCCCTGCAGCTGGGGAGGAGCCGGCTCCTAGAAGCCTTACGCCACAATCGAAACACCAACCCCAGCAAACGCTTCCTAGTAATGGTGCAGTATTTTGGTCTGTCTTCTGTTTGTCTTTCGTTTTGCACGCAGAGTACTGAGCTAGCTGTAGCTGCTGCTAATACCCACATCCCCAGTAGGACATATGCAATCTTATTTTATTGGGTTTTTAAATGGCTAAAGTGTAAATAATTTTAACTTTCATTGGTTTCGTTCGGGGAGAGAGATGGGGTGCACAGTCAAATGTCATTCTCAGGGGCTAGGGGAGGGTAAAGGGTCTTGGGAGGGGTGGGTGGCAGTAAGGGAACAAAAGCAGACAGGTGCTGTCCAGCAAAGAGACCCCTTCTGTGAACCGTTACCATCTTTCACGTACGTCACTGCTGGACAGGGGGTCGAGCCGTACCTGTTTTGTCCCCAGTCTGATTTGCGTTCTGCTACTGGGTGGCTGTGGAGTTTTTTGCAATCAATGGTTTGCTCCTGGCCTGGTTCAGTGCTCTGGTTTCTTTCTGCCATGGCCTCTCCTAGGCCATGTCTCGCCGTTGGCACCCCGAACCGTTACCATCTTTCACGTACGTCACTGCTGGACAGGGGGTCGAGCCGTACCTGTTTTGTCCCCAGTCTGATTTGCGTTCTGCTACTGGGTGGCTGTGGAGTTTTTTGCAATCAATGGTTTGCTCCTGGCCTGGTTCAGTGCTCTGGTTTCTTTCTGCCATGGCCTCTCCTAGGCCATGTCTCGCCGTTGGCACCCCTGGCCCTGCTGGCACCGCTTCCCTCTGCCTT